GATAGTAAAGCAGTACAGAAAGTCCATTCAAGGGTGGTGATTATACATTTATACTGACCCTCATCAGCCCGGGTGCTTGACCTTCCCCAACAGTGCGGCTGCTCAAGGGCAGGTCCAGAGAAAGAAGGTCGTCATACATTTGTCAGCTGGAGGAAATGAGGAGAGGAAACTGCAAGAGATTTTGGGAGATTAGGAAGTATTACTGAAATAATGAGCCATAGAACAAAAGATGGGTAAAGAGGAATATGAGTGAAGCAAGGGCAACTGGGCTGAAGATTTTAGTAAAACTAAAGAAAGGTTGTTATGGGGATACTTGAACAAACAAGATGGAAGGAGAGGAGAGGTGGTTAGAGCACAGGATTCTTGGGGAAGTGATTGTGGAATTGGATCAGTTGGGTTAGTAATGCAACGTCTCGTTGAGGATCAGGTGTATAACAGAATTTACCACTAAAATGATGTTCTGCTTACATGAAGAGATGAAGAAACCACTATCCATCATTGGAAAATAGAATAAGAAAAGATGAGATATTGGCAGATTTTGATTTCTTCTAAAGTTAGAGAAAGCATGCAATTACTTCCACCTAGAACCGAGACTTTAAGCCTAAGTACCTTCAGAGACATATAGGGATTCAGATGATGTTAACACATTAAGTTATAAATAACACAAAAGAGGTGATAAGTCACGAGCATTTTGTTTTTCATTACTGATGTTTTCATTGACACTCTCAGGTGAAAGGAAATGGCTGCTGTAACTGGTCTCTGTGGAACGTCTTTTTGGCTTGTCTCTTGGCCTGTGTGATCACAACAGCAATTGGAGTCCTCGTAATATGCTTGGTGAATAATAGAGGAAACAACAACTCTACCATTGTTATCAACCTACCCTCAAAGGATAGGGAGCCTGTAATTATCGTTCATGAAACCACGACTGCTTCTCCACCTACAGTGACCATCACATCAGCTGAACCTGCAACTACAGCCAGTGCAACATCCACTGGCCCTCCAACCACTGGCCCTCCATTGACACTCTCAGGTGAAAGGAAATGGCTGCTGTAACTGGTCTCTGTGGAACGTCTTTTTGGCTTGTCTCTTGGCCTGTGTGATCACAACAGCAATTGGAGTCCTCGTAATATGCTTGGTGAATAATAGAGGAAACAACAACTCTACCATTGTTATCAACCTACCCTCAAAGGATAGGGAGCCTGTAATTATCGTTCATGAAACCACGACTGCTTCTCCACCTACAGTGACCATCACATCAGCTGAACCTGCAACCACAGCCAGTGCAACATCCACTGGCCCTCCAACCACAGCCAGTGCAACATCCACTGGCCCTCCAACCACAGCCAGTGCAACATCCACTGGCCCTCCAACCACAACAGACACAACCACCTCTCTAACAACAGCGTCCACACTTCCACTTGAACTTACGACTGGAGCAACCTCCACTCCCAGTTCAAGTTAAACCATGGCTGCCTCACTTTAACAGATTCTATAACTTCTGCAGTTTCAACAATAAATTCTAATACATCTTTCAGTTAGCTGACAACCAAAGCAATTACCACTCCCACTATCTCTTTGATTGAATGCATAACTCCATTCACTTTGGCTGAATCTGCAATCACTGCCATCTGCTGCTCAACCTACAATGACTGTAACTTCTACTTAGCCTACAGTAACAATGATCACCACTCTCCTTCAATAATCTATAATCTGCACCATTATCACTTTAGGTAATAGAAGTACCATCAATCATCAAAATGTTCTCTTTTATGGCAAGTTAACCTTTAGTTATTATCACAACGAATTCACCTACAATCATTCTCCCCGACTAGCTCTTCCCCCTACTGTAGCTGCCTCTCCTATAACAGCTGAGTCTATATCTACTGCTATTATCTGCAGCTTCCATAATACTACCTGAATAACAATAACTTAGACAATGAATAATGGAATAATTACTTTGACTTTCACTGAATCAACACTGAAGACTTCTAAAAGTATTAAAACTCTTAAAGAATGGAATATTCAATCTATCAAGAATCTGCTCTTGGTTCTACAGTTTTAAATAATACAATTTCATATAGAAAAAGTAACCCAATTTGTTCTTTTAGGAAATCTTTAAGAAATTTTATATAAAACCTTATAATAAAATTAGCCATTTAGATTTTTATATCTATTGATTTCAGTTAAGAACATTGTATTCCTCTGTACACAAATTACATACAAGCAAACAGAAATTTCATATGGGGAAGATTTTAAAAAATTATGGAGAGAAAACTTCAGAATCAATCATAATAAGTGTTTCTTTTAAGGTGAAGTTATGTTTCTTCAATTTCTCTTTAGACTGCAATTACCTTTTAAGCAATCATATTCTACTTGCATTAATATTACTGTAAGTACATTTGAATCTCTATTTTAAAATTTGTAATCTCTCATGTGCCCTAGTAACACCCTCATTTCAGAGTACATCCACAACTACAGAATATTCTCTGTGCAACGCTTCTATTTGTTTTCGTTCTAAGTATTAATATATTTAATGAACATTATTTGGAAGTTTTCTGTTTAACCTATTTGGAAATGGTCATCTCGGTTTATCATCGTATCACTCGGAAAGCCGTGCGAAGGGGAGGATGAAGTAGAGAATACATGACAGGGGACTCCTGTCTTATGCAAACAGAAGGAGCTCACTCTTATTCAGTGATAAGCCACCAGATCATTTAGGAGATATAGTCCCATTTACTAGTCTTTATGGAAGGCTAAATCAACGGTGTAGGTTAAATGATGTAATGACAAAGTATTCACTACTCAAACGGGGTGACACAATTTTCTATTTGGACAGAATGATGTAATGACAAAGTATTCACTACTCAAACGGGGTGACACAATTTGGACAGAATGATGTAATGACAAAGTATTCACTACTCAAATGGGGTGACACAATTTGGACAGAATGAGATGAGACCTCAGGTGCAATTTAGGAAGGGTAAAAAAACATGCTGATTCTACAGTAATTGCCCACGAAACACACTTTCTTCCTGTGCCCTAAGACCAAATCTGATGCTTCCGCTGACATCCTAAATGAGCTGCAAGTGAGTAACTATCCACAGGTGTCTTGGCTGTAAGGCCTGTGCTCTTTCCACCACAGCTGGGCTTGGTTCTGGTCTAGGGACGAGGAAGGTATGGATACTAACCTCAAGGGGCTTATAGTCTAGTAGATGCACATGTAGGTGCAAAGTACTAATGAC